TTATTATTTTTATTATTTTGTAATTAACATATTATTTTCATATAAGGCTATGAATTAAATCTCTAATATTTGTGATTCTTTTTAATTTTTATATTATTTTTTAAAATATATATTATTTAATATATACTATTTTATCTCGAATTAATAATATTTTAATTTTAAAATTTTTTTGTCAATTTAATATAATTTGATTTTTCACTATAAAGAATGCACAATTTTAAATGGACTACAATTGTTCAAAATATTTGTAATTCACGTTCTCAAAAGAAGAAATATTACACGATGAAATAATAATCGAGCCGGAAAGATGTTGAACGTACATTCGGAGGTTTGCAATCACATTTTCCAAATATTGTAGGATAATTACATTTTGAGAAAAAGGAAGTGCTACATGATATAATGACTACAATAATTATGTTGCACAACATAATTATTGAGGATGAACGTAATCTTAATGAACCAATTCAAGATGTCGTAAATGCTCCAATTGCAACGACAAAAAATGGAGGTAAATGAAAATCTTCGATTTGAACAATTTTTAGTTAGACACAAAAAATTACGGACAAGAGTGCTCATTTGAACTCCATAATGCTTTAATAGAGCATTTATGTGAGCAACGTAATAATCTTGAAAGTTTGGCATTTATGTAATGCTTATATAATCATATTTCATTAATGATTTCACTTTTATTTGAATTGTTCATTAATTTGTATATTATATAGAATTTGCTTCTAAGGTATTCTATTTAGAAATTTAGAATAAAATATAATTTTATATTAAAAAGAATTTGTATAACAAAAATTTACATTACATGAAAATTATATAAAAGTGATTATTTTGAAAAAATAAAGGAAGAAGAAATTTATATTATGAAATAAGAAAATAAGAATGAAGTAAAAATAATAATACAATATTGAGGATAGAGAAATAGATAATTTTTAGAGATCAAAATAGAGAATTGGGTTGGAGATGATTGTATTAAAAAATAGAGAACTCTATATTTGGAAAGTGAAATAGAGTAGAGGGTTGGAGATGACCTTCCAAAACAAAATCGATCAATCGTGTCTGCGTGCGTGATTCGTTGCTGTTATTTTAAGTTCGTTGGAATTATTGAAGTTTAAGGTACCGCTACTTCTTTAATGGTTAATCTGTTTTATCTTGTGATGAATTTATTTGTAACCTCAGGTACTTGAGGAGATTAAATTTCTTAAGGATACACAGTGAGTTATGTGGACTCGGATAGTTCTTTGAGTTTTCATTTTCATCTTCTATTTCTTCTGGTTTGCTTATGCATAAAGGAGATAAAAAGCTTACGAAATTTAATAATGATGGTATTTTGTGTGATAAGAAAATTACTTCTATTTTCTATGTTCTTTTTGTTGGAAATAAGAAGAAGAAAAAGAAAATCATGTTATCAGATGATAAAAGAGATTTGAGATGAATTAGTACTACTTTAATATGTTCAAGTATATTTTTTGTAGTAAGTTTTTCTTGGATGGGTAAGATTAATCTTATTTACTTCCCAATTGCATTCAAGCATTGCATCTTTCAGTTCTTTTCAATGAGAAAGTTATTTTGTGCATAAAGGCTAAGATGAGCACCTTAATGCACATATGTTGTCTTCTAACAATATTTGAACATTAGTTTAGTTTTTTAGTTGAAATCCAATGTCTTCTAAGGAAAATTGGAATATGATGAAATTAAGGAAAGAAAGAAATAATTTGCAAGAAAAGTGACTTACATGAAATTATATAATTTGATTCAATGAGAGAAAAAATCAGGTTCATTTTTATTTCCTTTGATTATTATTTTTTCTATCCTTTATAAGTTATGAGATTTATTTTATAAATGTTAGGATAGATTGTCATTATGTGATGATCTCAGAATATATCTTTATTATTAGAAATATGTATTCTGTTTAAGGATTTGAAAAAAACTTCTTAGTTTTTTACTCCATGTGAAATTTGATTATTTTGAGACTAAAATCTTCTGGATTTTTTTCTCTCCATTGGTATGAAGAATATAACTTCATGAACAAATGAAATTGTGCATTGGTTCGAAGAATATAGAAACTTCACCAATATATTAAATACTCAATTTGAATGAATATTCTCACTTGAAGAGTACAAAATCTTCATCAGGAATATTAAGGCTAAAGAATTCAAAAAAGATAATATCGTCTTCGTTAATTGGAAACTGTGTTGTATTTGAGGTTTCTGGAGATTAAAACATTTTTAGTTTACTACTCTATCTGAATGTGAAAGTAATTTGAAGAATATTTCGAATTCGAGATTCATTCGATTAACGATTAGAAAAATATAAAAAACTTCATCGTAAAACTAGAAATAAGTTGTTTAAAGATTGAATTTTTATTTTTAGTAGTTTAAATACTAAGTGGTTTGTCTAATTGTGACAAAAAGGGGGAAAACACTAGTGATTTTGTGTCTGTAATGGGTGTTTCTATGGATTAAATCTGCAAAAGAAGGTTTCGGTGTTGCCAGTGTGTATTTGATGGTATGCAATTTGAAAGCATGAAAAAAATATTTGAAAAACAATTTCAACTACTTGAAAATATTTTTGAGAACATATTTAAAATTTGGGGGGTTCTTCACTTATGATAAAGACAAATTAGACTTACTATCTAAATAAAATTTGAAAGAACGTGATATGAAATATAATGACATTCTTGTATTATGTTAGACTCACAAATTCTTAAAGCATATTTAATATTGCGGCCGTTGAGTCTCTCTTTAGTAGTATATATGATATGACTAGTATAAAATTACAAAATTATATCACTTGTTCGAAAGAATTGTATTCTTTGATGAAAAAGTGTCACTTAAAATATTACGATTTTTCATGAAAAGATATACTATTAAAATAAATTTGTTTATATAGACATGAACATTGAGGAAAATGTACTTTTATGTTTGTTTTGTAAGACAAATAGGGTCATATGCCCTTACTGGACGTATAAAACTATGATCATTAGTAATTTCTTTAACAAATTGAATGTTATGGAATGGTCCTTATTAAAAGGACATATATCAAGATGTTTATTTTGAAACAATGTTTGTATTTGACAAAGTTATAAAAAGTAAAGAACAAAATATTTGTAAGAAAAAGTTACCTCATTGAAGGTCTTTTCAAACTCAGTATTTTTGTCTGTTCTTACTTGCTTGAATCAAATTGTTTATGACTTGAACGCTTGAGATATGTCCATTACAAAACCTTGCAAAAGCTGATCAACTTAGAATACTTCTAGTGCAATAAATCAAAATGTTAAGTATGTGTTGTTCAAAGGAATCTAAATCCCTTAGAATTGATTTACACTGACATTTGTGATATGCAGTTAACACCATCTTATAGTGGAAAAAAATGTTTCATAGATTTTATTGACAGTTGCACTATATACTATTAGGCTTATTTGTTGGATGATAAGGATGAAACAATAAAAACATATAGGTAATATAAAATTGAAATTGAAAATCAGTTGGATAAAAAGATTGTCATGATTAGAAGTGGTAGATGTGGATAAAATGAATATTCTTTTGCATAAATATATTTGGAAAATGGAATCATCCATTAAATTACTGTACATACTCACCTCAATCTAATGAAATTGTTGACAAGGAAAAAATCGAACTTTGAAGGAAATGTTGAATGTCCTACTTATAAGTTCTGATTTACCACAAAATTTGTGGGGGAATGCTCTCATTATAGCAAAAGAGAATAACAAAAAAAATTGCATTTTCAAAAAGAGAAACAAAAAGTTTTATTTGTTAATAAAAAGAGCAACAAATAGAAAACTTTTCTTTGTTAAGAAAGGGAGCAACAAAAAATTTATCAGACTTTGTTGGATCCTGATAGAAAATTGTTTGTCATCCCTTAAAGTATATACAAGCAATAACTCTTGAAAGGTAGTGATCTAACAATTTTCAATACAGTTTATTCCATAAGAGAAATGGATATAAGGGAACTATTCCCAAACATATCAAATAGGACCTAAGGCTGTCGATTGTATGTTCATTGGATATGGTATAACTAGTAAAGCATGTTGATTTATGGTTCATAAGTGTGAACCATGGGATAGTCAAGTAAAGGGTCTAACCAACCTTGAAAAGAACCAAAGGAGAATGTACTTAATAAGGAGATTCGGAGTAAATGTCAATGGACAAATTACTTCCTCCGGATTTCAGTTTATAATATTTTTTATTGAAAATGAGTCCATATAGTCGAAGAAGATATGTCTTTTGTGGACTCATCCTTTTTGGAAAGAGGGTTGTCAATAGTAAGATAGATTCAACATTGAGTAACCATACTTGAGAGTTGATTGATCTTAATCCAGCAAATAAAATTTTAGGTTCAAAGTGAATCTACAAAAGGAAAAGAAAGTTGATGAAACTACTGACAAATACAAAGCAAGACTTGTTGTCATAGGTTTTAGAAAATAACAAATCCTTGATTAATTTGACATATAATACTACTAAAAAAATAGTGTTTAGTGACAGATATTAGCGACAAACAATATTTTGTCATTATATAATGATGAATTTGTGACGGAATAACCATTTTGTTACAAAATTAACAAATAATTTTTTGATTTATGATATTGCAATAAATTTTCAATGGAATATTTAATACGTCGCTAAATATTAGCGCGAAACTTTGGCGCCTAATTTTCCCTACGTATTTAGTAACAAAGTAGTGGTGACAAATTTGATTAATACTGGGTGACTGAAGTAGTGATGAAAAAAATGTTGCTAAACTATTAAATATATTTTTCCAAAAATTATATTATATAGTGACGAAAATATCCATCAATATAATTTTTCTAACTAAATATATTTATTTGAAAGCGATGAATTTTAGAATCCATCACTAATTCGGTTGCAAACTCTAATTTACGATTTCCTCTACTCTCATTTAATCTCATTCGTCGATCATGATTCATCAAACTTCAAGAGTCAATATCATCGCTCATCTGAATTTATCAATGGTCCTGATTTAAGACCCTTTCTTTCCTATCTTACACAAAAGACCCCAAATTTTTAATTTTCTTCATTCTCCTCGTCTCCTCTCCAAGCCCGCTGCCCAGGCCTTTTTTTCCTTCTTCTCCTTCCTTGGTCCTCCTTTGCAGCCTGGAGAAAGAGTAGTGAAAAACAATGGCGAGCTTCGAAAGACGCGCGAATACCATCAGCTAATCTGCATCGCTGGCACCAGCTCCAATCAGCGAGCAACCAGGCGATCAGGTGGTCTCCGATCGGAACCAACAGTAGCACAGAGATAGCGCCACCAGTTGCCTCCCTCTCCGGCGAAAATGATAGCAACATTAGCTACATGCAGTGAGTAGCGATTGCAAGCACCGGCAACAGCCAGCTCCAACGAGCAACATCAGCAAACGCCGGAGAGCGAGGCGAAGATAACAGCGAAGTTCATGGACAGTCGCCTCCAGATTGTAAGCCATCACTTTTATAAATTGATCTTCTTTTTTAGGTATGAATTTCTTTTTTTCTCTTGTTGTAATTTACTTTAAGTGTCTGATGTTTTCTCCTCTGTATAGTGAGAATGTTGAATTAGCGGTAATTTTTTATTGTTCTAACTTCGACACTTTTTAATGGTGTAAATATTGTTAACTAAAGTATTGTATTGTTACCTGCAGATTAAAGTAACATTTTCTTAGAGAAAGACTCCTAATAAACAATCAAAATAATAATCTGCTTGCAACTTTGTTTAAGAAGCACCAACACTATTTGCTTATTGGTGTGATTTTCTTAAACTAGATCATTACAGTAGGAGTCTCTTATCCTGTGATGGTGTTGCAAAGACCCAAAAGAGGACTATGTCTTCATGGGAAAAATTGTTTGAAGAGGTATAATTGATGTATCTTAGATTTTATCTGCATATTACATTGTGCTAAACTTAGTTTTAATTAAGTCATGCTATGTATTCTAAAATACATTCCATTTACATAACAAGGATCTTGGAGTTCTTTCCACAATTTACTCTTGTAACGCTTCTATTATTGTATGCTTTTATTATTTCATGCATTTTAAAGATCGTTTAGCACATCAAAACTCCATTTTGAATAATTGTCTATTCGTATTGAGTAAAATTCCTCAAGATAAAATAAAATGGTGAATCCGGATGTCATTGATAGAAAGATAATTCACTAGGACCTCTATAGCAGATAGTTGACAAACTTACAATCGGACAAAACTAGTCTGTTTACACTGTTAAATTCCTTTAAGTTCCCTAAGATTCTTATAGTTATTTATTGACATGATAAATTAATCAATGCTTTAACAGATTACTTTGTTACTGACCTAGTCTCTCCTTGATAGAACCTTGCTTAAGACATCTTACTAATTATTTCTCATTAATCTCTTCCTTTCCTTTGGGGACATCCGATAAAAGTGGAATGATACGGCTCCTATCAAAGATAGAATATTCTCAGGATAAAAAATATTTTTATTTTTTGTACTTGTTTCTCGCTCTTCTTAATTATTTGCTCTGGTAGTAAGGTTATATATTCTACTAACATCACTGCTAGATCTGTGATGCAGCTTACAGCCTTATTCACTTGATGTTTTAGTATTATTCTTTTTTAATCGGGTGGAAAGTTGTTTACCTTGGAGTTGTTACTTGACAAATAGAATCTCTTTTCTTGTTTCTGACATAACTTTCTCAATTTGCATGCACCTTGATATTGGGTTGTAGGGCTTGATTTCTCTTGGAGACTTGATGAACAAAATTGCAGACAATGACCTCTTTGATTGGGTTGGACGGGCTAAGATTATTGATTGCATTTGCAATTCCATTTTAGTGGATCCTCAAACTAGACAGGTATCACCTTCTAAAATCTTGATAAGGAAAGATTTAAAGGAGATCACTTTTCCTTTTTGTCTAGTTTCAATTTAATTTCTAATCTACAAAACGGTCATTTTCTTTCACGATACCTGCTCCAAATTTGAGTTGTCCATGATTGAGAAGTTGTTGCCGATGCTACGCGATCCAGATTATCGAGTTAGGTTATGCTTTGCTTAACGGATTGGTGTGTTTTTCCAAACTTCGGATGGTCATTTTGAACTGGTCCACGACATATTTGTACGATGCTTAATTTTTATTTTTTATGCAATATTACCTTTTTAAGTATGTCGAAAACTAACTGTTTGGCAAGAAATAACCATCTATATAAATCTCAAGTGAAATAGCATGGTTATTACTTTATCACAGTAAGTTGTATTTTTATTTAGAATTCTTTGAAAGTTGCTCAAAAGTTGAACGAAGACAATAGTCATAATTTTTTTTATAAAAAGTTTAATAAGGACTCACCTTCTCATAAAGAGTAGAATAGTGGAGAACAAGGGTGACACCTGGAAAGGTCAGAATAATCAAATTAGTAGAAGTATGTATTATGTCGCATGAAATGAGATGACTGTCTATGTGTTTAGGGGTGCATCATACTTGTTTCAGATTTTAGGATGACACCAATTATCATAATCGTATAAACTAAACGGTTTCTACAGAGTGGTGGTTAAATCGACTTTATTATAGGGGTTAGAGTGTTAGCCAGTCAAAAACGTCCAAGTTCAAAGATAAATGTAGGAGATACTATGATACTTACATAGATGTGTGGACCACTGAAGAGATATGAAAAAAATATTATATGATCTATTTTGCAAAGTTCCCAAATGTGTTTTGTAAAGTTTCCAGTGATGATGTTTAATTTAAGCTTAAATGTATATTGTAAGTTGGCTAAAAAAGTATAGCACATTTAATTAAGTTAAAAGGTTATGTATGTTTCTGTCTTTTTCTTCCATTAGAATTTTATTCTTAATCACTAATGTTTCCTCTTTATCTCAATTTATTATTACAGAAAAAATATGAATAAATATTACAGTAAAAAACAATCTCTCAATCCGATATTAATCAATGTGAAGAATATTACCAAGCCACCGAGGGATAAAGAAGCGAAGAATACGCGGTTTCGGAAAATGGATATATTTGTAAAGCAAATGATTCTTTATAATCATTTTTCTTGTTATTATGAAGCGGGTACAACAACTAGTTACTCTCGAATTCATCACTTGTGACACCATGGGGCCTCCTCTTGCTACTACTAATGAGGACGAGGTTTATCCCTTTGTTTCAAGTATGATGGTATCCATTAATTAGTCATCTATACTTTAGTTTTTGATGTTTTCTGTTTTTATGAAAAGTAAAAACTGTGCAATAACAATAGTTGAGGAATGTATGTTCTCTTAAGAATAGTAGATAAATTGTTTTTGATGTTTTGCATCGAAAGTATGTGATTTGGATTTTGCTATCCATAGATTTTGAACCCTCTAAGAATTATTTTATATGAATGTTTGTTATTTTAGAGGTATTTAGTAATTGTTATTTAATCTATTAAAGCAATGTATATTTAAAATAAATAAATAAAATTATTTTATAAGAAATTTTTAGCAACAAATTTAATGATGATTTGGTTGTTGCTATAAAAAAATATTGGCAAAGGATTAACAACGAAACATTTAAGTAACAAAAATTCCATCGCAAATTTATTTCAAATGACGAAATTAATTATGAAATTAGTAATGAACTATATAAGTATAACAAAGGATCTGTCCATCACTAACAATTGGCGACGGATATCATTCGTCTCTAATACGTCGTTAAACTTGCGATGGAACTCATTTTTCGTCGCTAAGAAATTACTAACGAGCGAAATAGAAATAAGCAACAATTCGTTGCAAATCCATCGCAAATTTGATTTAGCGACGAAGTAGCATAGATTAGCGACGGATTTCGTCGATCGCTAAATATGTAAACTTGTTACATCACTTTATGGACTAAAAACAATCGCTCAAATAATGACATGCGAATTCGAACAAACTATATTTGGCAAATGAATTCTAGATTAATCAATGTATAAATATTCTACATTAAAGACTTTTCAAATCACAAGGTCATTATTTGCTTTTATGTTAATGACATGTTGATTATCAAAAGAGACATATCTTGCATAAATGATACTAATCATATGCTAGAAAGTAACTTCGATATGAAAGAAATTGATGTTTCTGATGTGATTGAAAAGGTACTTGACAAGTTCAAGTAGTTGAATTTCAATATTGACTAGATTCCAATAAATGTGAGTTTTGTACTTCAAAAGGATGAAGAAAAAAGTGACTCGCAGTTGGATTATGCTAGAGTATTGAGAAGTATGATATATATCATGAATTGTACGCGATCAGATATAACATGTTCTATTAGTAAACTGAGTTGCTTCACTAGTAATCTCAATAAAACTCATTGGATGACAATAAAAAGAGTTTTGGAATATTTAAAACATACTTAAAAACTATTTGTTTTGCATTATAACTAATATTCAACAGTATTGGAAGAATATAGTAATGCAAATTGAATCACCGGGTCAAATGAATAAAATTCACGAATGGATATGTATTTACTTTTGGTGAAGGAGCAGCCTCTTGAAAATCTTCCAAACGGAAATGTATCGCTTGCTCTACTATTAAATACGAGTTTATCACTCTAGATAAGGCCGGTGAAGAAGTTGAATGAATCCAAAATTTTTTAAAAGATTTTTGGTCCTAACCTTTAGCTCTAGTATGCATATATTGTGAGAGTTAATTTGCAGTAGCTAGGCCGTGGAGCATGATGTATAACTAAAAGTATCGCCATATATGAAGTTGACATAACATCGTTAGAGAACTACTCTCTAGTGGAATTATCATAATTGACTATGTTAAGTCAAAGGATAATGTGTCGGATCCACTTATAAAAAGTCTAACTAGAGAGGGAGTTGATAGATTATCAAAGGAAATGAAACTATGGCCGAGGACAAGTCATTGTGACAGCAGTAACTCTACCTAGAAGACTGGAGATCCCAAGATCTAGGTTCAAGGAGATCAAACAAAGTCATTAGTGATGATTCAACATTGTCAACATATTTTTATGGTCTATTCTCATGATAAAACAATGTTAAGTAACAAGGATAAAGGCATTAAGACTTTTTAGTAGTTTCTAAGTTTGATACAGGGTATATCAAATTTTGTATCTACGGAATAACAAATTTAGAAATTACCTATGTAAGCGTGAAGTGTATGCCAATTTAAGGGGAATCCGGTAAGGCCGGTTCTCTACGCACTTATAAACCAAGACGTATTCATGGTTGAAACGAATAAAACAATCAGAACCAAAAATCGTTAGAGGGTTGATTGTGTGACTTATGTTGATTAGGTATACACCAAAGCTCGACGGTTCAAAGATATTAAATCTATCGATTGACCAAGTATATCCGATATATGTTTACTATGGAAAGTTCAAAAGGAAAGCCACTTATCCAGATGCGACCAATCCTTATTTACGAATCACACAATTTTTCATGCATATATTTTAACAATAGTCATTCCGTATTCATGTGGGGGATTTTGTTGGTTTTAAAGGTATGAACAGAAAATAAAGGGTTGTGGCTCTTCTGAAGGATTGTGACTTTGCCGAAAGGCTGTGACCTTTATGAAAAGTTGTGTCTTTTCTAAAGGTTTGTGACCGTTTGAAAGGTAGTGTCTTTTCCAAAGGGTTGTGACCTTTCAAGGTTGTCTTATTTCCAAAGAATTGCAACCTTTACCCTTTGTTGGCTATAAATAGAGAGGTTTTCTCTCATTTTTCTGCATCGAATTCTTCCCTTCTTATGCATACATTTCTTATAAAACGAAATCGATCGATCGTGTCTGTGTGTGTGATTCGTTGTTGTCATATTGAATTCGTTGAAATTATTGAAGTTTGAGGTACCACTACTTCTTTAATGGTTAATCCATTTTATCTTGGGAGGAATTAATTTGTATCCTCAGGTACTTGAGTGGATTAAATTTATTTTGGACACACAAAGAGTTCTCTGGACTCAAATAGTTCTTTGTGTTTTTCTTTTCAACTTTTATTTTTTATGGTTTACTAATCTGAATACAGGAGATAACAGTGTAGTATTATCTTGCTTAATGCTTAGAACAGTTGGTGTTTGTCTATGTACTAGTTGTATTTACTATAGTTCTTGTTTTGATATCCACATAGACCATAAGTATTTATTGTTGTTATCGATAATCTATCCTAGTAGATTGCTTATTGTGTTTAGATCATTGTACTATCTTATTGTTGTTGTTGCTCCTTTCTAGTAGACTTTACATTGTTTATTTGTGATGTGCTATATTTACTTCTTTGTATTTTGAATAGTTATATTTAAGCCGATGATCTTTCGGAAAGAATCTCTCTATCTTCATGAGGTAATGATAAAGTATATTCTAGATTTCACTTGTGGAATTTCACTAACTATGTTATTGTTTGTTGTTGGTATTATTCCCACTAATGAGGGGTAGAATCTATATAAATTATAGCTGTACCTTGTCTGCGAAACAAAAAAGAAAAAAAAAGATAACCTAAGGACAGGACATTAAATCCATTAACAATTTTGACAAAAAGACACGAACTAAGGACAACACCTTATTAACAATGTTTACAATAAGAAATTCTTCTTCCATTTCATTACTTATAATGGTATAAATTACATAGGGTTTTTTCCTGCATAATAAACTCTGTGAACTAAATATTTTGATCTTATTGTTTCTTTCATATAAGTAGCCTAAACCATTTTTATATGTATAACAATCCATACATGTTCAGAATATAAATCTGAGAATGGAGCCTGAATGCTGCTGCTGAATCATTAACTGGGACAACACGGATTTATGCAGATTTTTTTCACAAAACTCCAAAGCTTAGGCAACGATTGGGTAGGATGCACAAGTTGCAACACCACACATATTCTTTCCCATCTCCATTTTGAAGTATCCATCCTCACCCCAATCTGCTCCCCATGAGTTCTTTATGAGCCAGTAGGGAGTACCATTTTCAACACCGTAACCCACAGCAAGAACAGCATGGTTTACGTCCTGCCAATGAAACAGCCAGTGGTTGTAATATTGTCCATATAGGCCTATTTAGGTGATAATATTTTTATTGCATCTTCTCAGGTTACTCGGGACAGATGACTTACCATGGGAGTGTCGCCACATTCAGTGCTGGCGTAAACTCCGCTCTTGTACTGTTTGAACCCTTTTACCACCTCAAAAGCAACACTAACAGGCCTAACCAATGCAACTGCGTATTTCAGTTCATATTCAGCACCCTGTAATAACACATATGTTAATCAGGAGTCATATGTGTAATTGGTAAAAGCAGCAGCTCAATAAGTTAAACAAATGGGCTGAATAACATTGGCAAAAAGTTGGTTCCATCCATAGGAAAATAAAGATATCTTAATTACCAGGGTAATATTGACAGAACTGATGACTTTGACACCAATATTTGCTTGTGAGAATTTACATATGCCATTCTTGCCGGTGTATGGATATGCTTCTTCAGTGTCAAGACCACCATTGAATTTAATGTACTCAAATGCTTGAGAAGGCAACCCTCCATTGCAACCAAAGTTATTAAAAGCTCCAGCACAGTCCACAAGCTGCTGCTCTGACAGAGAGATTCCCTTCCCAAATGCTTGGGCATAGGCTGCCTCTAGTGCACCAGTAGTGCTGCCAAAACCCCACATATATATGCCTGCTCCATTAGATTTCAATTTTAAGAGTCCAACATGATTTTAACTAATTCTCACCTGAATGTCCAGCAAGATCCGCACTTGCCCTGTGCCTTCACTGGGCTAACAATACCATCTTTCCTCCAGTCTTTCTACAATCACAAAATTGGAAATTTGGTGTTTGTTAAGATTAAAAAAAATAATCTTTCTGCAACCAATTGTACACAGCACACAATGGATGTTTAGTGTTTCTATCTCTATTATAGCATAATTCAACTCAGTGCACTCTACCATCTTAGAAATAATAAACAAACTAGTTTAATTAACTGAATAGCTCGAGATATATATAACCATCAACGATCAGAGTTCATTCTGATTGGATATACCGTCTCTGGCAGAACGACGTTAGTGAGCTTGAGATTTCCCTTTGTGGTGGCAGAACAGTTTTGAGATGCCCCCAACTTGTGTTTACGGAACTCATCCCATGTTAGGTCGGTAAACTCTGCCATGAAGCATAAAAGTAATCGATAAACAACAATTAGATTGATCTTAAATTGCAAACATATATGATAATTATAAGAATTCAATTAAGAATGGTAAAGAAATAACTTAACTTGTACAAATTGATTTTTTTTACATCATCATGTTAAAACTTACAACATGAATAAGTAGTTCATATTGA